GCGTGAGACTCCTCTAAGTCTCTGCCTGGCCAGCGCTGGGCGCAATAGCCATTGCGCCAAGCACGAGAGAGCCTTGGGTTCTCTGGTTGAGTCCCGCTGGGCGCGGGCACACCTGTGCTGGGCGCGCTAGCCCCCTGGTGCTCTCTGGTTGCGTTGCGCTGGGCGCAGCCACGTGCGCGCCGAGCGCGGAGATGGGATGGTTATGTATGAAGTTTTATGCTGAGTTGAATTGAAATAGAAGGTTATGAAATGATGTCTAGCAGATAATGTTATTATTGATATTGAATTGTATCTGATGAACGTGTCGAGAAGTGGTGTTATGTTGTAGCTGATTTGTTGAACTGTGAAGTTGATATGTTGAGTTGTACGTTTGTGTTGTGTTGTGAGTTGATATGTTGATATGTATAAGTTATGTTGTGTTGGAATATTGATGTGAGTTATTGTAGGCCGCAAGGCTGAGTTGTTGTAGGCCGTAAGGCTGAGTTGATGTAGGCCGAAAGGCTGAGTTGTTGTAGGAGATCTCCGAGTTGATATGCGTGACGACGCATTGTATGCTTATTGATGATCACGTTGAAAATCGAGGGAATGTATGTTGATGAAGCATAAATAGTCGTGGTTGTTTATATTTTCTTAAAAATCTTGCTATATGTTGTTTTCTTTATGCTAGCTTACCCTTTGGGTTTCCATGTGATTGGACTGCTATGATCGTACTGTGTACGGGAGCAGAGCAGGGATAGGTGATTGATAGTGATGAGTCGGCAGCCGATAGATGGAGCTGATTTCTGCGGATGTTCTGTTTGTTTTGGTCACTTGGCATAGTGACTTTTGATGTAATCCCTATATCACATGCCCTAACTCTAGTCAGATTCAGGACATATGTATATACTTATATTCTAGACTCTATATTTATATACTTGTTCTATTCTGTCTAGTGTTTCCGGTGCGTTTTGATGGTGAGTGAATGGCCAGTCAGGTCGTTACAGTCTCAAATCTAAGAAAACATATCTCATAAACAATATAAAATTTTATATTTCATATGGACTCAAATATAAGCAAAATACTCTTTATTTATTCGAAATTCTATTTTGAATGATTTTTTTTATTATTAGGCTTAATTTCATTTTTGATTAATTAAGTATTGTAATTATACAATTTTGGTCTTTAATATTTTGATTAAGCAATTTTAGTCCCTCTAGTATTACAATTGTATAATTTTACTCCCTCCCAATTTCAAATATAATAATTTTAAAATTATATTATATATATATAATGTTTTTAAAATTATAACATTGTTAGCTTGTTTAAGTTGCATGTATTATATGATGTAAAAAAAATACAAATATAATAATTTTATTCACATATCAAATAATATATATTTATTATTACTAAAAAATAAAAATATATATTATTAGTATTATAATATTATGGGTAAAAAGCTAATATCAATAATATTATATGTTGTCATGAGTGGTGACACTCAGATTGTTATATGTTTAGAAGTGGTATGTTGCTCCTCCTCCTTCTCATGAATATTAACACAACTCGATACATTGTGAGGCTTTCAAAGTTGTGCTATGATGTTTTCACTTTCTATGTGTAAAGCTTGAAGATCGGTTTCATGTTGGCGACACAGCACCAAAAGCCTCTTGATTTTGTTGTCTCATCAATTTGATTTGATCAACCAATCTCGGTATGACTATATTGTCTTTCATGGTAGAAGTCTTGAATACTCGTTGTTATGATGTTTCATGTACTTGATTTCTAGTTGAAACCATAAACATCCGAAGGAAAATTTACTCCAATCTCATGATAGGCACCAAAATGTTCGTACTAAAATATGATAAGATTGGATATTAAAACTCATGATTTCTCTAAATAAAAGTTACATCTTCACGTCTAATATTCTCTTTAATCTTTGTTTCTTTTGAGTTGTTTTGTGATAGGGTGAATACTGTAAAAAAAAGATTCTGTCGGTCAAGTTAGTCTAAATTATCTCATTTGTCTTATTTTATTAATATAAGTACCTTGATCTTCAGTAACCATTCAATCATTCCTTTAGTTCAAGTAACCATTCTAATACAGTTACTTTTTCTTGTATTGTGGTGCTCATCATCTTGTCCATGTTGAGCTATTTAAGTCTACCTGGTTTTGGTAATACTAACTTGCTAAGGTTGGACTAGCTAATTTTTCGAGATTGGATGTGCTAAGCTTCTTTGTTTGAGTTAGTACAACCACCTTATATATGGTGATACAAGTAATTCAACTAATTCATCATACGCCTATCTATTACAATGAATTTGTTACTTTATCTCAAGAGTGAGCATTTTGTCTAAAGTTAATTTAGACTATAAAACTAGACAATGCTTTTTGTAAAAGATAGATTCAAATTATGTTTCAAACCATTAGAATAACTAATATTCTCTTAATTTTTTTTTACTTATTGTGTATAACAATAATAATAATAATTATTATTATTATTATATAATTGTTATTATTATTATTTAGTCATTAATAATTTTTACATAATATTTTATTCATACTGAAATTGTTTATTTTAAAATATATATTAAAAAATATGTGTTAATTTAAGTTTTAGACTAATTTTATTCAACAATTTACCTATATACAAGACATATTTGAATAAACTTCTTCATAAGTACTTCTAAAAGAGAAAAAAATTGAAATAAGTTTCTTCACAAGTTAAAATAAACTTATACATAAGTTAGAAGAAATAAAAATTAGAGAAGCAAAGATTTATGTATAAACTAATTTTAACTTTCAAAAAAAAAAACTTATTTCACATTTTCTTCATATTTTTCTCTTCCAATGACATTTATGAAAAAAATTACCTATACAAACTAATAATATTAAATTTAGTAGTGTTACAAAATCACGTTGACCCAACCTTGTCCCCTATATATTTTAAGTATTTACTGGGTCGAATTTTTCAAGAAAAAGTCTTTCTATCGTGTGTAACTTTGCACATGTTAAGAAACATTAAATACTCACTTTCAAAGCATTTCTTCACCAAATTATATATGGGATTTTGAAAATAATATAAATTTCTCACTCATCTATTTAATCTCTTCTGAAAAATATATACCTACTCACACTACAACTCTTCATATATTTTTAAATTTTTTTCCTATAAAAAAATAAATTGGAACAGCTATATATTATCACTTCGTACTATTTTTTGATAAAAAAAATAAGTATTTATTATATAAAAAATTGCATAAGTACAATAATATTTTACTTTAAGATAAAATGAAACTTTCACTTTTAAATGATTAAATACAACCATAATTAACATTTTTTTTTTTAAAAAAAGAAACTTTTATACTAAGATTAAATACAAATTTACTTTTAAAACAATTTAAAAAAAAAAATATTACTTCCGTTTAAATTCAATTTTTGCAGAATCAAATTTAGTCGCTTATTCAAATTCAAATATAATAGTTTATTTCATGATTTTTTTTACTGGTTTTTTTCCTCTAAACTTTACATATAATAAATAATTAAATTAACATGAAGATTTTTACTGTGAGTAACAATAAAGTATATATATATATATATATATATATGTATTTCTTTTTAGAAGAGAGGTTGAATAAATATAAAGGAAAAAATTTGTATTTTTTTAAATATCATAATTAATTAGGAGAAAAATATTTTAAAAGTGGGTATTTAGTGTTGAATGACGGTCCTAATCAAGGTGGGTGACCACCCAAGGCTAGGGTCTCATTTTCAGAGGGACGCAAAAAAAAATTGGTCAATATAAATATTAAAATAAAATTTTCATAATTAAATTATATAAAAATTATTATAAAAAAAATTGATCATCAAAAGTTAAACAATTGATAGGTGATGTTTTTATTTTTCAACAAAAATCTACTTACAATTTTAGAAAAATCTATCCCTAATTTTAGAAAAATAAATCAATAATATTAAATATAGATAAAAAAATGATACATTACTAACTTATTTCCTTAATATTTTTAGTTTGAACCTCTCTCAATATTAATAAATAAGGTCACCTTAATCTTTCTCTCTTTTCCTTTATCTCTAACTTGCTTCATGCTTTTATTTTCTTATTATTGATCTCTTATCAGATTCTGGAAATCAAACTACAAATCTCTATTTTATGTACCTTTTGAAATAATATCAACTATCAATTATTCTTATTAGGAAATTTTCAAATTTGAAATTATTAAAATTCTATTTATAATAATTAAAAAACCTTGCTTTAACTTATATTGAAAATAATATCTTAAGCAATCTTGATTGTAGATAAATTATTATTGATTTTATAATAAAAAATACAAAAATAATATCCAAATAATCCTGTTAGGATTATGGCTTTGTTGTTGATTTATTGAGAAAGCTTTTGTCATTCTTTGTACTTATCTTTTTGCCCATTTTCACACTTATAATGCAAGATGTAGATTTATGAATTTCTTTGCCGTTTAAAAAAAACAATCATGAGATTGAGGGCATTAACTTTTTGGTTGGTTCAAGACAAAAGAAAAAAAATTCAAAGCCGACCCTCTTAGTGCTCCTTAACCTGTGCAACTTTGCACAACATAGCTAAATCCTTTAAAAAATAACCTGACCAAATAATCGATTTAGATATGGCAAGATAAATCTGACACAACTCAAAGAATGCTCACTCCTTCATGTCAAAGAACTGGACGTTGAGTTTTCAACACATTCTCTTTAATATTGGCTGATGTTGGGTATATTTAGAACTAGGTCCTAGCTGTTTCCTTTTCAGTTTTCTGACTAATCAAAAAATATAACATTTCTAAACTGTTATAAAACATTTATAATAAAAGAAATTAAAAAAATTGTGCACCTCACAAGGATGAATGTGTTTGATTAATAGATAAATGAACCTAAAAACTGTCATTTGGTGGGGGGAAAGACCTAACTCATACTAAAGCATTCCCAACTACCCCCAAAGTTGCACCTACTCTCATTTAATTCATACTCAAGAAGCGTGCAAATTTTTAAAATAAAAATAATAACAATAATAATTGCAATAAGTACCTAATTCTAAGTGTATCCAATGTTTTTGACAAAATGAAATACGCATGCATCATATGTAACCACATGCCAAAAACTCTAAAGCTTTACATAAGTGAAATAATTAGAGTCCTTAGAACCTACCCTTACACTCTGCCAATTAAGACACGGGTCCAACCACAATGGATCTGTAAGTAAATCTATCTAACACTTGCCATGTACATTTTACTCTGGGAAAGAGACAGCATCGTTTCACCTGTTAAGTGTTAATAACCATTTGCAGTTTTTCGAGGCTTCTTATTGAACTTTAATGAGCTGCAGCGAGGACAAACGTACTCGAGTCCATCTGTTTTAGCGTAGTCCTGCCATTTATTTATTACATTGTGGTCAAAAACAATGGTAAATTTTGCATCACACGTTTCATCTAGTTACAATCTATAGCAATGCACAAAATATCTGCATACAATATCAACTTGTTCTTTACTAATTTCCTTTTCTCAGATGTGATTGATTATTTTTTTACTTTGAAAATGCAAGCAACACATTCCTTCAAACATATTCTATTATCAATTGAAATTTATTGACAATAACACACCCTTAAAACTCGTTAAAAATAGTTAATAGGATTCTCAGCAAATTTCAACCAGTAATAGTGTGTAAAAGGATGTTTAGCTAGCACTCCTCTTCTCGGTTTCATCTCAAAGAAACAAAGAGCTTGTCTAGATAAAATTTTTCACAAACACTCTTAGAAGGAAAAATAAAATAAAATAATCTATAATCTAAAATTAACTTATGTACATAAGTTAATTAATAGAAACTCTTTCACATTAGTTTCTCCAAAAAATTTATTTATAATTTATGCATAAGTTAATTTTAGGTTACGAAAAACTTATTTTAGTTTTTTTTCTCTTAAAAGTACATTAAAAAAAATTTATCTAAACATACTAAAAGACAGTAGTTGATATTAATGCATCAAACATAAAGTCACAAGCAAGATTCAAACAGCAACCATTTGTTGCAACTTGACCCGGTATTGCCTTTAAGAGCAAGTAAAAAAGGACAAGCTTCGTGCTTAAATAAACAACCTACTCCCTTGAAATTTTATAACGCCCCCAAAGGAACAATAAAAACAACCACAACACAGAAAAGGCTAACCTACATCAATATGCATATTTTAAATTGCAAAGGATCCAAATTTTTTTAAAATAAATTCTCTTAAATCCTGGATTTTCGAATTCAGAGAGATATTGAAAGAAATTAAGAATTCTCGCTATTTTTTACATTCATGGACCCAATTCAATTCAGTAGGGTTTTTCATTCATATTTTTTTTCCATCAAGAGAGTTTTATAAAACTCTTGGACTCTTGAATTTGGAGAATCCTATTTTCACGCAATTCATAGGGTTCAACAAGCAATTGATATTTCATGATCAAGTATGTTGTATTTTTTGTAGTAGTGGTCCTTATATATATAGTATTAACAATTGAAAAATGGTCAAAAGACAATCTCTATTTGACATAAATGGTGAATAACAAAATTCCAATTGAAGTGAAATCTTTTAAATAAATCAATGCAATTTAGGAGTGAATGGCTTTTACTAACCATGCAATAGTTTTATCTTTTACCCATTTGAGTTAACCAGGCATTCACTTAAGTAAAAATTTAGTAATACCTTAAATGCGCCGAGGCCCTGCCGCCTATCACAACCAAAATGAGCCCACTCACCGCATGCACCGCAGTTCACCCAGTCACCTGCTGCACTACTGTTGCCCGAACATGAAAGGTAAATAACAGTAAATAAGACAGAACTTGGCCAACTCCACAGAATAGATATAAAGAGAGACCAGAGAGACAGAAACCTGTGACACATCAAGCAGCACTCTCCATCTACGTCATCATGAGCTAATTCATATTCTAAGAGATAAGTTTCGTAATGTCTTTTGAGTGTATTGCCAACACCCTGGTAGCAAAAAGAAATTATCAATGTCACCAAGAATGCATTGAATGGGGATCTCAAAGCTGAAGTATGCACAAAGCTAGTATTTGCTAAGCACAACTAAAAGGAAAATGTTATATGACTTATATCCCCATTTATTCATAAAGCTCTATAAACTTGACATAAAATTCTCCACAAAGTAATTTCCTTATTTTCTTTTTCACTTAGTAAAACTGAAACACGCAATTCAAATAATAATCTGGTGCAAAAAGGCAATAGTTACAATATACTGTTTTGGCTAAATGGCCCTGCCAAAGTTGACAGTGGATCATGTCATAGAATAGAACTGGATCAGATTTGTGAGTCGAAGTATGAATCTTTATTGATGAAGCCTAGTTCCCAATCCTGTCCCAACATGGGTACAGTACCAAGAACTGAAACTATACAAATAATAGTAAATTCCCTGGATAATGGAGAGATCCAGGACTCTCCCTAGCCACAATACTAACTCTCCCATTGACTAACTACTCCCCTCAACCCTTTTCACTATTTATAGGCAACATGCCTTAACTATAATTATTCTACTAACTGATATAACTAACTATAGGGGTTACCTATCAACATGCAACTTGCATTGTAAGTGATTATAGCACAATGAACACTTGGTTCCTTAGATACACCAAATTTAAGTCGGCATCTGCAAAGAGTAATAATAATGACACTCACTAGTGCATTACTACAACAATTGCATTTCACTTTTTAGGGATCACTGGATTCTCAAAGATAAAGTACAGCCAGGAAATCAGCTTTTTTCATCTTTCCAGTGGAAATAAATAGTAAATTGACACCATAGAAAAAATAAAGCAGCTCCCAGAATGGAAAAATTACAGAGCTCCCCACAGGTAATGTGAGAATATGAACACAAACTCCTAATACTCACAAAATCAAGTGTAAAAACAGTCCATGCCATACAGTAGTTGCCTAAATACTTTTTTTTTTTGAAAAAGTATTTTATGCCACAGTTGTCAACTAAGATAAACAACTTGAATGCTTCATTTGAGCAAAATATACTATATTAAAAACATTCATCTCAACAGAAAGTGCAAGATACTTGATAAGGAATGGATTAGTAAAGGTTCATTCCTATTTCCTATAGAATTCAAAATAAATGATCTCCTAGCAAGAGGGGAATGATCTGTACTTTAGTAAAATTGTAGGGCAATTTTATGAAAATGATCTCAGCCTATACATATGCATATAATACAACGAAATGTCATGTTAAAAGAAAGACAAAAATAAGATAAAGATCCATACGGTCATTCTATTTGTCATAGTGTGATTGCGCATCTTTGAGAAAACTTGTCCTTTCCAATTGATACCATTTCCAACATGAAAGCCTCCTCTTGAAACCACCTGAATTACTCAAGTGCCTCAGTTACAGATTTTACTTTTTACACTACTAGTATGCACTAATATACATTTAGCTTTACATATTCAAATATCCTACCTCCCTGTACAAGTTGAACAGATCAAGGCGTTTTGCATTCAAAATGGCATCAGGGAACTCAGCAAGCCCACCTGGCGGAATTAGACGATTATGCCCCCGAAGAATCAAAAACTGCATTACATCCCTCAGGAATTCCTCCTGCCAGAAAATGCGTCAGGGAGAAACAGAAGGCAGAAACTTAGATTTAGATTTGACATAGAATGCATTGGTAATTTGATAATATAATATTTGACACTGGGTTCAAGTCAAACAAGGCATAAAATCAATTAAATTAGCAAAGGTTAATGGAAAATGTGTAAACCACCTCTGAGCAAACTCGTATAGGAGCTCTGTCACAACCATGCTTTTTCATAGGTAGTGGATTCAAAGAAATAATCTGGTGAGCTTGAAATGAGTTGGACACAGATTTCCTATTTGTAGCTGAGGTATGGCCTGAAACATTATGCTTAATAGGAGCAAGTGGCTGATTTGATTTTCCATGGTCTCCATCATATCTTGCACCCTCAGACAATCCAGAAAAAGGGAGAATCTTGTGTCTATGAGACTGAGGGATTGGTCTCATAGCAGCAAGATTTAATTTCTGTCTATGACAGCCAATATCTTCAATTCCCCGGGCACTAGCCTTAATAGACCTTGTACTAGAGCATGGTTCAGATCTTTTTCGACTGGGTGGTGGAGGCATCAGCCAACTTGGAATCCCAAAGGAAGCAGGATCACTAGAACAGTTTTCTTTCTCCTGCCTAGTACAAAAGAAAAGGAGACGTTCAGAATCATCTTTATTAAAAGATGCAACTGGCAATCCTTGAATACTAGCAATTCCCAACATAACAAGGCTGCGATATGACACATTGGGTGCAAGCTGTCTCAGAACCTGTGCACAAATATCAAAAACCACTAATCAAAAGACAAGGTTTCATTATTCAAAAAACTAAATAAAACTAACAAGGCTTGTGTCACTACAGCTTGCAATTGCTAAAAGATCAAGCCAATTCAATGTGGAGGCTATTTCATATGTTCCATGAAAAACAAAACAGTCAGAAAAACAAAAAATTACTATTATGGGCCTGGCAATCGGATTAAAATACATAAGTCAGCTCAACTATAATATATAATAGCAAGCAGAAGTCACAAATATCTTTAGCTGCCCATAACCAGCCCCAAATCCCATTTATACACTTTAGAGTCCAGACTCCAGATGAGTCAAGCGACTAGACTGGGTCCCAATTACACTCCTTAAAGCCCAAATGTTCCAAGTAACTAAGCCATCATCTAAACAAACCTAAGCAAAAGCCTCCATCAAAACCCATTGATTGATTAAACAGATTTTAAGGGTCATTAAATTATATTTTATAAAGCTATAACTGACAGAAGGAATCTTGAGAAACAACATTTAACCTGTGAAGCCCATGCAGGAACTCGCATACAAACTTCAAACACACTTGATCCACAGGCTACTGAGGCTGATCTTCGAGGCTCAGAGGAAGGTGATTTACTTTGTTCATGACTAGGAAATGCCTGGACAAGTTGACTCTTCTCAATGAGCTCTTTTTTAATATGATTCTCCAAAAGCTGGGGGGGATATATCCAAAAAAATAATAGAATAAAAATGATAGATGAGTAAGAAAGTTAAAAGGAGCATATATGTAAAAAGTCAAACACTTGCAGCAAATTCACCCATACCTGATCATTAAAACAAGCGTCTGCACTACCAGACACCAAAAGTGATATATGAGCAGAACTACATGTGGATATATCACAACGCATAGTCACTACACCACGTGAGAATGTTCCTGCCTGGAGAGGTGGTGGTGGAGCACTACAACAGGAAAAGAAATTAATAAACAGAATCAGATTCTAACAAAAGACAAAATAATTAAAAACAAATAAACCACATAATAGTTCCAAACTTAACGATTAACAGTCCAAAAAATAATTAGGTGTGGATGTGTTTGAGAATCAATAATAAATCCCCAGTGAACCAAAATTCATATTTTCCACTGAATGTATTCTCATAAGTCAGCACCATCAGAATACCTTGTCCTGTTGTGAAGTTTGCATCCACGTATCTGCAAAAAAAGCCAGAGTGGAAACAAAGAAATATGAGTAATCAAAAAAATTCAATGAAACACTTACAGACCCTAAATTGGAGTAAACCCCCCCATTCTAGTCCCTGAAATTGTAGATGTCTGTCATTTTAGTCCTCGACTGATATATAATCTTCATTTTTGTTCCTAACTTCGTTAAAGTTCATTCCTTTTAGTCTTTTTCCACTGTCCTTAGCACCAAAAATGAATGATGTTCTGCAAGCTAGGGAACTAAAGTAATGAATTAAGGAAATAGCGTTGCATCTTTTGGCATTGAGACTTGGTAATCTTGGTTTTGGATGAGGGTTGCTTTGGGTTTGTTAACAGTGAAATCTGATCCCATGAAGAACAAGAACGGTGAGTGATTTGTTCAAAACTGATCTATGCATATGCCCAACATAATATGTACATAGTAGATTACATTGTCTAAGGGTCTGTTTGGGTAAACTTCTTCAAAAACATTTCTAGGAGAGAAAAATAAGAAGGAAAAATGAAATAAGTTTTTCCATAAACTACAATTATCTTATTCACAAGTTAATTTGTAGAAGTTCTTTCTTATTAACTTCTCCAAAAATCTTATTTTAAACTTATGCATAAGCTAGTTTTAGCTTATGGAAAAGCTTATTGATTTTGTTTCCTATTTTTTTCTCTTAGAAGTACTTCTGAAAAAAATTTATCCAAACAGACCCTAAATGAGGTTAAAAATGCAATACGACTTAACTATTTTCTTCAATATAACAGTATCACTGTACATGTTAGATAAAACTATAGTCAAATACAACACTTTAAAGAGAAAGCATGCATAATTTCATCTCAACTTAGCCTTAATAACTATAAATTGTTTGAAGGGCCACATATTGCAATTTTTTTCAGAAAAAAAAAATGATTTAGCACCCAGAAAGCAATAGCAGATAAAGCAAGAAATAAAAGTAAATACATGTAACAAACTTACTTCTGTAAATAGAAGAGCATTGAGTCCATCCTCTAAAGACCCCAACAAACAAGCATCCTTTTCGGAGGAGAGTAAAAGAAATGGAATTAGTTAATAACAAGTAGGTCACGTGGGAAGAACTATTTATTAGCAATAACAAACTTCATGAAATTGAAGTAACTAAGCTATCCAGGCCTACCAGTGTGCGGGGAACTCCACAAACAAGAAATCTCATGTTCACGTCATCATCATATATCTTTACAGCAGAAATAGTCTCAGGTGAACTTTCCTCTTCCTTCAAGTCTGCTACACTTGAAGCAATATCAATGTCGGGAGGAACCCCAAGAATTTGGGGCCCAATCTTACCAGGACCCTTCTGACTGTTAGAAGGTAAGACATTGTTTTGTATACAGTATAATCTAAAAGATGCCAGAGCAAGCTGGAAAGCATCCCATGTATGGCTCGATGTACTACAACACATAATATAAACTGTTAGACACAATATTAGGAAATACAGCAATTTGAAGTGATTGAACAACTAAGTTCTTACCAATATGGCAATACCTAAGGAAATAAAAAAATTAAAAATTAAAAATAAAAAAAAACTAACAAACTGCATCCAATTGTTGGAACTTTCCACATTATAATTCATAGACAAAAATACTGGAATTCCAATACATTATCTTGTCAATGTGTCTCATTGCTTCATTGGTGGAAGCTGAAGTTAGTCAGTGAGAAGTGTGGGGACAGTCATTCAACCCATTTCTATCCAAGTAAAAACAGAAGCACAACCAGGAACAGCGATATATGTAAAGCATGACATCCAAGATGATAAAGGACTATACCTCTGTGCCACAGAGAAAAAAGAATGACGAAAATGTGAAGCCGCATACTTTGAAAAATCATTTTTCCAATATATAGTGTATGGAACTCCCTGTCAAACAAAAAACCTTAATTATTTATCATGATAAAGGAACAAAATAACAACATATTGGAGTGTCGCATCTTTAAAGTACTCATTAAGCCATCTAGTTTTACCACCACTTCATTAATTACTTTAAACCAGCACACCTTAGTTTTCATATATAATCTAAGATAAACAAAATTACAGATTGCCTGCTATATCAATGTAACCTTATTTCGGAGTGCCTCTGCCAATTTTTCTCCCTTAGGAGTTTCCAAATAAACCTGCAACAATATCATAAAGTAAGTTGGGCATCAAAGAAACAAGGACCAAAATCATCCAGACAACACTCACAGTATTAGGTAATTTGGAAGAAAACAATCCACACAAGGCTTCTGGGACAGACAGGTCAAAATCTTCCCATACAAGGGGTCCAATTTCTTCCCTATCTTCTAGCCGCTGGCCTTGCAGGTAAACAAAATCTGGCTGCAGTTGTTCAAGAGCTTGACCGAGTTCATCAGCCGTAGGTTTTATCAATACCTTGACCTGAATTCACAGACAAGGTTAAAATTCCATTCAGATGATTTTATTCTCAAAGCCAAAAAGTTCACATCAAACAAAACGAGGCAAATTTACACCCAAGGAAACTCAATGGTCACCTCAAGACGGCCAGAGGAAGAAAGCTCCGGAAAGGGGTAAGGAGGCTGATCCTCAGAAGCAGCACTCTGCTTCTGCTTTTGTTTAATGTCACGTGATTTACCACTCAGGACAGCAAGGAGACTACAATGCCTTGACACACCCTGAGAATGGAACATCATGTATAACCAAACTTCTCCAAATACATATATCAGAAAAAAGCCACCACCACTTGTCACAACTAACACCACACTACTACAACAGCTTCTACTCTCCCCACCCCAATGCCCCTAACGACTCTCCAAGGTGCCAAATCAAACCCAGAAAGAAGATATGAACGAGAGTTCTAGCCTTTTTCCCTCAAGAATTGGGGATAACAACACAACTCTGAGATTGAAGAAAAGGGAACGACCCAGATCAAAGTGAGGCGAGAATCAGCGACCCAATTGGTCAAATCCCGCACTTGCTGAAGAAATCAGAAGGAAAAACCACGCCCCCAAATCGAATCAATGTCCACAAAGTCAAGAAAGAAAGTAATTTGGGAACCCTACAAATAAACCTCCGAAATCGCTCTATCATCCACCAAACTAAAAGCCCATTTATAAATTGAAATATTAATAAAAAGTATTTAATTGGGGAAAAAATAAATCAAAATCAAAGACCTTTTTGTGTTTCCGCACAGTCCCAAAACTCTCCGCACCACACCACCGATTGGGTCAGTCAAAGTAACCAACCAATAACCGAACAAATACAAATAATATTACAATTACAATTACAATTACGATACAAACATTAAATTCGCTCCTCTTGTGTACGATCCTGATTAGATTAACCTTTTGACGAAACAATAAATCCAAAGGAAATAGAATAAGAGGAGGAAAATGATAAAGTTTAATGTTGTCATTATAAAATAAAAGGAACAGGAAATGTCTTTCACACATGATTCGATTACTTTTGAAAACGTAGTAGGATAGGGATGACGATGCCAACGGCATAGGGATATTATAATTACTCGAACCAACAGGATTCACAACTTGGTTTCTTTTATCCTTTGGTTCAAAGAACTGAATTATATGTTAAGTGCACACACACACTCTCTTCAAAACAACAACCGGTGCTTTCTTAAATCCTTTTCTCTCTCTCTCGGTGCTTCTCTCTCATGATTCTCTGAGCTTAATCTTTATTCTCGTACTGTTGGTTGGTACTAAGATGCGGACACGACAAACTAAAAAGTACAAGGAAATTATCTTTTAAGACAGAGAAAAGGTGGTTGAGTATTGATAGAGAAGCATAAGTGCACAACTAATATTCAAAGGATTATTTACTCGTTAGGAACTATAAATGGTTGAACAATATGCGGTTAAAATAGTTGGTTCAACGAACTTGTTTGTACTGGGTGTTGCCGTGTAAAGAACTTGTTTGTACAATGAGTCTTCTTTTATTTAATGATGATTGTAAAGAGATTTTTTTTAATTAATTACTAAAATTTTAAAGAAATTTTCTTTGAATAAAGTAAATCTAGTAAGTATTTAATATAAAAAAAAATAGTTATTGAATTTGTTTCATGTCAAAAAGACGAAAACAAATGAAAGATTAAATTTTGCGTTCAAACTTTATGAAAAATATTTAGAACAACCTTTTCACAGGACTTAAAGGAATAGTCCAAAAATAAGAAAGTGTATTACTTGACACAAGAAAAAATGTCTTCAAACATTAATCCAATAAATTTTTTATCGATAAACCCAATGATCTAGTAGCATAGTATAATTATTAATTACTTTGAGAACTATGAATATATGTTATTTTAGTCATGCGAAAAAAAAAAAATATATATATATATATATATATATATATATATATTTCTAAACCTTATATAATTATCTTTATTTATAAAAAAAAGACTATTTTTAAAAGGAATTTGTGATCTAGATAAAAAAAATTATTTTGTTTGCAAAACTAAGGAAGAGTGTATTTGACATGTCATTTAAAGAGTTTATAAATTTCTTTAACCAATTTATAAATTAGTTTGATTAAAATAAATAATGAAGTAACTTATAAGCTCTTAGTTTATTTTCTCTTTCTTCTTATTAATTTATTTGAAATCTTTTTTATTATTTTTAATTTAGAAGTCATTTTTTACATGTTATTCTCTCACTTTTATTATCAAATATATAAATATATCATTTTACACTAATAATTAACAAACTTAATGGTTAATTTTACTAAACTCTTTCAATTTAATCAGTCATCACATTGATTGTTTTAAGCATTCGTACAATCGATGTAGATCCCGTCGATGTAGAATTTGGACACATTTAACATTGAGTGTTACTAATGTTAAAAATATGCATACAACAATGACTATTTATAACAAATGTCAGAGTTAGTAAAAAAAATCCTCCCACCCCACGCTAGACCATATAAACCCTATTTGTGAGTGCCCCACCCCTCTCCCTTGGCAAATGCTCCCAAAATAATGCAACAAGTTGCATCACAATAAACAATCAATCCACAATGAACAATTAGAGCACAACTAATAAGAACTAAAAGTGGAGAAGAATGCACTTGGAGAAATTTGTGCAAACCGAGCAAGCATGAATAAAGAAGAGAGTGCCACAACCACTATGTTGCCATCATCAAAAGAATAAGAATGGAGAAGAGACCAGAGAAGGGAGAACGAGCATGATAGAGAGCAAGTGTGGCGACCTGAAAATGATGGAAGACAAGGTAGCAACGAACGATGACCAATTAGAAAACTAGAACAAAAAGTGAGCACAAGAAACTAAGAAAAGAGAAAACAATAAAGAAAATGTAAAAATGAGAAAACATGAAAGTGAAAGTAGAAAGGACCCTTTGCACATTATAACAGGATATACAACATCATCAGTTAATAGTAGAATTGATTTTGTATATGATATACAACATTGATTACAATAAGCAATGTTAAAATAAGTAATGACATTAAAATAGAAAAAATGTCACTCCCCCTCTATTATATCATGTGGCTTATAACTGATATTAAAATCTGGAGTTGTATCAATGTTTTACACAAGCAATTTAATTTGTCTCTTTAGTAAAATAACTTAATTAAGAGAATTAAATGCAATGAGTAAATCTAATATAAGATCATTAAGGTTGGATTCTAAAAGATTAACTCTTTAACAAGTCTAGACATAAAATAATTGACTAATGGAGCTTAAACTAAATAAGTAAGATTTCTTGCAACTCTCTAAAAGACCTGACTAAAAATAATTAATGTTTGTCTAAAATATAGTTTAATAGCTTAGAAAATAAAGAAATGTTCATTTAAGTCCATTAGTGACTAATATTAGTCCTAAAAAAGTAATTAATTAAGATATATATGAATTAAGTTTAAATTAAGTATCGTCAAATCAAAGTCAAAGTGAGGAGATTGGTAAAATCATTTATGAGAATTTTGAAAATAAATGAAAGATTAATCTAGAAGCTCAAATTAAGTTTTAATACGGAGACTAAGACCTTAACTATAGACGATTATTAGAGATGAAATTAATTAATTTTGTGAAATTAAATATTTTAATAATTATAATTAGACTACAATCAATGTAATTAACATCATAATGAATCTAAACATAAAATAACTAATTAATAGGACTTAGATTAGAATAATCAATGCTTCTTCTGGTATCCTAATATATAAGTTAATTTAAAACATGACTTAGATTAATTAGATATTTAATCATTCAAAATCAATTTTAAAATTAAGTAACACTAGAATTATTGTGTAAAAGTAGACTAAATCTAACCTTAATTACAATAGTTAATTAAGTGTGTCTTGCACTAGTTTTAAATTGAAAATGAAGCCTCCACTCTCCCACAGGGTAGATGTTGGCCAGAGAGAGTCTAGAGTTCTCACCATTCTCTCAAAAGCCTAGAACACACAAAGGTCTTCATTCTCTAGCTCAAGTATGTTGATGAGAGTTTAAGGGCTTCAAGTGGATACCACTTTTGTAATATTTGGAAAAATGTGGCCTTAGCTCCTAGAGGTATGAACTGGTTCTCCTTTATCTCTTGTTTTGAGTTATAGAGAAGTTATTCTCTCTACATTCCTATTGTAATGTGATTTTTGTTTGAAGTTGTCATAGCTTTTTCTTGGTGAAGTGAGATGTTTTTAAGTGTAATCATGTTCCTAGGATCACTAAAAAATTCTCAGAATTTTTTATTAGCACATTTACTATTTTTAAAGATATATTTCTCATTTTCGCGAATTATGCCATGGAGCTATTTTGTTCGATTAAATTGCTTAAACCAGGTGTTAGTGGAAACTAAGACAATATATCTCTTCTATGTGTCGACATTGTTGATGTCTCTTAATTTATGAATTTAATCCAATATATTTTATTTTGTGTCCCATGGGTTTATAATACAAGAAAATACATGCATGTCCAATTAGATAATTTTACCGAATATGATATCAATAAGTTTTCCTTTTACACAAAGTCACAAGATGACAACAGTACCATGCAAAATAGTGGGGTCACTCTTCAGGCTCAATCTATGCATTTTTCTAGTAGGAATGATAAAAATCATATTGTAGCATCCACAAGTTATTATGGAGTCATTGTAGACATTTGGGAGATCAATTATACTAAATTTAAAGTTCCTATTTTTAAGTGCAAGTGGGTTGATATTAACACAGGTGTGCGAACCGATGAAATGGGATTTACAATGGTAGATTTTAGGAAGGTGGGTCATAAGGAAGAACCTTTTATCATGGCAAACCAAGCTACACAGGTATTTTATGTCAAAGATCTCATTGATGAAAGGTGGTCCATTGTTCTCCAAGGTAGAAATGTGCACAATGTTGATGATTCAACAGTTGAGTTTTGGGATAGTCTTTCATTCTCAACACGTATGCCTACTGACAGTGAAGAAATTGAGCAAGATGACGTGCATGCCATTCGTAATGATCATGATGAAGGCATATGGGAGAACATTACTATCTAATTGTTGCACATAAGTTATGTTTATCTTGTAGATTTTAATATTCTATTCATTATTTTTTTCATGTTTTAATTTATTTTATTACTTTTTTGTAATTGACCTTGCTTTTTTTTTGTCAAAACAGACACATGGATACTCCTCAAGACTCCTCTGTTCCCACACAGCCTACTTCAGAGGCTATACCTAGGAAAAAAAATACAACCAACACGGTTGAAAAGTGTAGCCCTTAAACGCATGAAGGGACAAAAAATAGAAATTAATGTGGATCCCAATACTGGGACAGCTTCAGGGCCAAACAGTGTTCAGTTTGCAAGTTATTTGGGAACGCTTGCTCGAGACAAGATTAGCATTTTAGTTCCCCATTGGAAAGAAGTCCCACAAGCTACTAAGGATTTGATTTGGCAAGATATTTTGGTATTTCCATTACCTTTATATGATTTGACAATATATCATTATTTTAGAACTTTTTTTATTATTTTAAATTTATTCTTATTAATTTTTCAATTTAAATTTTTTTTGTAGGAAGTCTATCAGATTGAGGATAATGCTATATTGAGGAAAAAAAATCCTTCAACATGTTGCTATAAGGTTTAGGCAATATAAGTCTTTTCTTACTAGAGTTTGGATAAATGGGAAACAAAAGGGTAATAGTCCTTGTGATAAGTATAACATCGACCCTGAAGACTGGGAAAAATTCAAAGAAATCAGAAATGACCCTAAATGGCAGGTAAACTATGTTTATTAATTTTTTAAAATTTACAATATAACTATTTATTTTTCTAATTGTTTTTATGGTGTTATTCAATTATTACAGGCTGTAAGAGAAAAAGCAAAGGCTATCCAAGAACTTAATGATGCCCCTCACCTATTATCTCGTGGGGGTTATGATCTCTTAGTGACAAATTATTCTAAAAATGAACTTAAGAGACTAAAGGAAGAAGCAATACAGTATGGTGCTAGTCAGGATGTAGTTATTGATCATCCACCTCTTCCTCCACGTCATAAGTTGTGGGTGATGGCTCGCACAAAAAGTTCAGGCCAAATGACTTCAAAGTCAGCTAACCAAATTGCTGAAAAAATTGTAAGTGTTATTTTTATAAAATAAAACTATTTACCAATTTGCTCAAAATTTTTATTTTATGATATATTGTAAACTAAATTGGTTTATTATAGAATGAGTTATGTGAGCTCTTCCAGTTCGAAAATATTTTTTCTCTCCTCAAGTCCTAGGCTAGACTCATGCCATAAGGCATCACATGCAATTATGCATCATACATCATACATGGTCTTCCCACCATCATGATCAACAAT